TTTGCCCAGAACAGGACCATTCCCCCAACCTAAAATGTATGCTAATCGTAAGTTATATTGACGATAGTGGTCCTGACAGAAATGCTCCTGAGATAAATTTCAACTGTCCCAGATATGGGTATGAGTACTTAAGCAGTGGAATCATTTAAGTTTTTTTTATTTTTAATTGACAAATCCTGTGTCAACTGTGCAGCGTGCAGCTCGCTTATAGCGCAGATGCTATGTGGTGATTTGAAGACATTTACGTATTTTGAGAGAGAGCGCGCGCGGTGATTCACTCACGCTGTTTGTGAAATTACGTCTCACACGAGGTTTTCAAATTACTTTATAAGTTATTTAATTAAGAAATATGAAGGAGTAGGCTACCTCACCTTCAGCATTATAATTATTTCACCCGTGCCGGACAGAGACTGAGACGGTGCCGCTGCATGTCGTGCCAAACCTCTCACGGCAGCGTCATCAGCTTGAGATCGTTTTTTTTAGATCTGCCTTTTTAGAGACCGCCGATCAATCATCCCAAAGCAATTATCGGCCGATAGTGATAGGTAGCCGATCAATCAGAGCATCCCTACTCTTAACACACCTCACACCACATGAAAATCTGATAAGATAATCTTTAGAACCACCGAGATAATCGGGACATTACCTAGGATTGTCGGAAGGGGAGAAATCGGCCCAAATCAGCCCGATTATCTTGTGGTGTCTACCCAGCATAACTAGCACGTTATTAGGAAAGCGTTTTGCAAAGATTCATAAAAAACCCTTATACTCACTTTTTCTGTTGATGAAGCTGGATCACGAATGATTCACGCGAACATAGATGCATAGATTGGGATCGGCGCATTCTCTTCAAAACGAAAGTAATGTTAATCCTCTGCGTCTTCAGCGGCTCAGATGTCGGGAGTAAATGACGACTGCTATATTCATTATTACATCCAACAACAAAAACACCTCAATCGCTTAATCGGAGACGTTCTTGTCTTCCCCTGCTATGTGATTGACACAATGGCGGACTGATGACAGCTCACTCAGGGTGGGTCTACGGTAAGACGCTAGTGTCAATCAACTATCGTGGGAGGGGCATGTGCAGAACTACGTCATTCGGACATGAATCTCAGAACAGCCTGATTTGAGAAAGGGGATTTTAAAATAGGGATTTAAAAAAAAAACACTGGGTGGATTTTTATCATTATAGGATGGATGTGTACACACACTTCCAACACACATTTATGTTCAAACAACTTGTAAAGTGAATTTTGCATCCGATGACCCCTTTAAAGGCAATTTTCTCAATGTTTTGATTTTTTTTGCACCCTCAGATTCCAGATTTTCAAATAGTTGTATCTCGTCCAAATATAGCCAAATATTATATATCATTTCAGATGATGTATAAATCTCAATTTCGAAAAATTGACCCTTATGCCTGGTTTTGTGGTCCAGGGTCACATCAATGATTTGATGTTTACTACACTTTATAGCTGCTGTAAACATGTCTCATCATGATAAAAATGGATTTAGAAAACGTCCTTTTTATTTCATGTTCTTATTAGCCTAATGGATTACACTTACTCATGTTTATATGAATGTTTATATGTGAAGTTATATTTTGCAAAAGTACTGTTGACTCATACCGTGGCTAGTATATCAGTGATGTGCAGTAAACTCCTCAGATTTGTTGCTTCTTTGTGACCCGTCCTTTAGTCACTTCCCTGTCCTAAATTTCACACTCCATTAACCTTATAAATTCATTTTATTCTGCTGAGAATATGTAGCTGCACCTTACTGAAGCAGAAACCTCTTCCGAGCACAATAAACCTTTTAACGATAGGATATTAAAGTGTGTATTACTCATAACCCACAAACTATTCTCTGTGGTGCCTTAAAAGAATATTTATTCCATATGTTTGTGTGTTAGCGTGTTATGTTATGTTGCGTTATGCACACTATGGCAAGAGCTCTGACATTTGAATGGTTTCCATCGCTCATGACTCTCATAACAGGCTGTGGGAAGTGCGTGAACGCCACCGAGGATCCAGTGTCCTGTAGATGTGTTTGTTCGGGTGGGGGGTTGTAAGAAGGTCAGAGGCAGCAGGGCTGAACGAACATCAGACTGCTATCACTCCAGGTGGACACACAACATTAAACTCATAGTAGATGAGCACGCGAAGATATCTCATAAAATGCTTGATTATTGCCTTCAAGGTCTTATGACATTTCTGGGAAAGTATGAGTGTGTCCCATATGAAAGATTTGTACTTGCACGTGTTGTCTGCTAAAATAGCCTAAGTGGTGAGATTCATTAAGCCTTCTACTTGCATGTAATGTATAGCCTAATGGTAATTCTGTTACGGTAGCTTTACTAATTTTGCAGTGTACTAATTTTATTTAATGTTATGTAAAATAAATATTTTTAAATCCAAAATTGCTATCAAATTAAAGCCATATGTCTAAATAAGATATGTTCCAAATTTGAAGTTGATATAAAAAACGTCTCGGTTACTTGTGTAACCCTCGTTCCCTGAAGGAGGGAACGGAGACGTTACGTCAGTCGTGACTGACGAATTGGGATCTCGCCCGAGAGCCCAATCACCTTCGAGGAGGTGGAGGCCGCAGGAGTGCTTTTTCTTTTTTCTTCTCTTTTTTTTTCTTTTCGCCCTCGGCGACGAGCAGACAGAGGAGCTGCAGCCGGCGGTGGGGTGCAGACAGCAGCAGACCGCCGGGGCAGGATATGTCGAAACGCCTCCGTCTTACCACAAACAGCCACCGGGTGCCAGTCAAAGTCCATTTAATTTTTTAATGCCTTTTTCTGTCACAAATGTCAAATTTTTTCTGTCAATGTTACACGCATCACAAAATTTCCAACGATATGTATTTTGTCAAGATTATAAAAAGTTTTGTTTCTAAAAGACCATAATACATTTTGTAATATGACACTTGACACTGCCCACTAAGTGGGAGGAGACCGCCAAAAGATTTAAAGTACCATTTCCATGGTAAAGCAATATCCGGTTTAACAATGGTTTTCACAGTATGAATTTTGAGGTTTTAAGCTTTCAAATGATATATAATTTCTGATGCTTACTAAAATATGTGATGGGGAAAAAAGACCACGGAAAAGAAGAGCCCCAATGGGCCCACAGGTGGGCTAGTGACACTTAAGTGGTTAAACATTTATTTATTTATTTATTGCTCACCAAAAAAGATCTGTGACTCAAAACCATGATCTGAGCCATGAGTTTTGTGATCCGTTGCACCCCTACTCTCTTGACTTGTTATTTGAAGAAAAAATACAATCACTGAGGTTTTCAATCATGCTGATTTGTTCACTGTGAATTTCAGCCGATATCTTTTTTATTCGAGCTAATTAATTCATTTTGGTTGACCAAACTCTGAAGAATGCCTGCCCGAAAGGCTACCAGGGATCTTGAAATCTTGTGAGCCCTTATGCACAAACTGTTATTGTTAATAATAATAGTTGAATTGGTGCGAGATCTGTGCTGTTAACACAGTTTTCTGTCTCAGGTAAAGGTGAACCAGTAACCAGAGCGTTACATTGATCATACTCCTGCTTCCAGTGTATTCAGCCCCACGGAGACTCTACCGGAAATTAATGTACTGTAGCTGTGGATGAAAAGAGTCATCTTGGGACGAGACGGTTCTATTTTACAGTAAGAAAATAGTATAGTCCAAAATATAAAGCAAATGGAGCAAGGCTATACTCTGATCCATGTACACTACCTATCAGTTTTTTTTGTTTTTTGAAAGAAGTCTCTTTCGTTCATTTTATTTGATAGAAAATACAGTAGAAACAGTAAATTTGTAAAATGTCATTCAAATGTAAAATAACTATTTTAATATATATTAGATGTAAGTTATTCCTATGATGGCAAAGATCAGGTCACATGATCCTTCAGAAATCATTCGATTTTTTTTTTTTTATATTTCAATATTGTTTATATTTTTGCAGAAAGCATCATTTTTTCAGGATTGTTTGATTAATAGTTCAAAGGAACCGCATTTATTTATTTATTTATTTTAATGAAAGAAAAAAAATTCTGTGCCACTAAAACGAGTTTTAACACTGCAATACAATGGTAACCTGCTGTATTTCAGTGCAGGTAAGTGTAAATCATACAAGACACTGCCATCTAATGGACAGATTGCGTCACTACTGTTTTCTGCAATAAGGTTGCAGAGCCTGATTTATAAATATGTCTGCAGTTTTGAACAAATTTAGCATTTTTTCATCTCTTTCTTCTTCTTTTTTTATGGAGCCTCATAAGTGTCTGATTTGGAACACTCTACAATGGTAGCAAAATTGTGTGCCGCACAAATAGTGCTTTAAATAGCTTTAAATAGCTTGAATATATATATATATAAATAAAAGAAATTAACTTCATCCAAATCTAATCTTATATTGTTAATATTAATATTCCAGTTACCTATTACCATACGCTATGTTAAAAACATTAAATGGTGGACTTTTGCTCTCTTACTGCTATAAAGCTTGATAAAACGTGAAGCTAATAATACATCAGCTGCTCAACAGGTGCCTTTGAAACCAGAAGAAAAGCCAGTGTTAAATTATTCATTCACATCTATTCAGTGTTTTGGTACAGCTGGAAACAAACAGGCCGTTGTATAAACACTAAGAGCACCAGTTAAATTGTTCCATTTTGTTTTCAGGTAAAGCAAGGACAAATCAAGGGGTGTATAAAATCGATCCCTGAGGGAAAACAAGCAATGATACGACATTCAAACAGTGATTTCTAAAGGAACTTAAGAATGTGCAGAGCCATTTCCATTATAAAGTCTGTTCAGACTCTTAAGGTTTGTTTAATCTGATGTAGATAAAGTCCAGGGCAGTTTTAAACGTGTCACCTTTCGCCTGAGTTATTAATTCAATAGCCCAGGATCACATAAAGAGAATAATCCCATGATACACTGTTTGTCATTCATGATTATTCAAATAATTTGCATCGAGTGGTTTGATAGCAGGCGCCACAAAGCCCAACTCTTAAGAGTCCACACAGTAGACAAAGTTGCCAGGTAACCAGACATGAAAGTAAGCGCATTTTGATGATAGTTACACAAATGTTTCTTATTATACGTCAACTTCTATCAAGCAGAAGCAGTTTATAAAATCCTGATGCTAATGGTGCAGTTCCTGTGCAAAGAACTGTAGATTTTCGGCTTACCTTGAAAAATACACACCATTCACTTCGCTTCCTTTTCTCTTTTTATATCATGATGTACTGTATTACAAAAACACTACAAACCACAGGAGGATTCAGACTACAGACATCAGGCTTGTTTCAGAGATATGAGGTTAGCGTGACATAGTTCTCACCAAAAGATTCCCAAGAACTCAAGCGTCCTCTTTGAGGCACAGAATGTAGATTTTGTTCAAGTTAACTTAGACGATGTTCAACATGCAATTCACTAGAGCATAATGATTAAAAACTGAAATAACGTCTAAGCAGAACTTACATATAAATATTAAAAACAAATACAAATCAATAGTGCCAAGTTACGCATTTGAAATTAGAGAGGAATATTGATTTCAGTATTACAGAGTGTTCGTTTTTGCTCAAGTTGCACACATTTTCAGAATACTACAGCAGGATGGTCTTAAACATTTAATCTCACATTTCTTATTCAGTTACAGCCAATAATATGTCCAGAGAAACTGTTTGGTGTCACTGTTTATTGGAGTCGGACTGGTGCCATCTCGTGCTTCTGATACATAGTGAGTACTGAAATTCAAAAAGTGTTAAAACATGAAACATTTAAGCTTTTGAATGCTGAAAAGAAAAAACTGTTTTCAAACACTCGGCACAATCCACAATGAGAACACTGCAGAAGCAACATCGAGGCCCTTGCAGGCAGGAAATGGGCCTCATCATGCGGTGGTCTTATGGAGAATTTCCAAAGATCAGCAGCTCAGCTCAGTGGAGGCAAAACCACAAGTGACGAGTTGAGTGCTTGCTCCTGTATAAATTGCTTTTCAAATAACGAAAAGTACACATTTTTCAAATATGTGGCTTTTCAAAAAAGTATTTTTTGCACTTTTTTCCTATTTGGGCAATTGGTACCAAAATAAATTAATTTCTCTTGTACAAATGTAATCAAGTATCGATATACTGAAGCCTATTAAAATATTATTTGGTTATTTAAAACTTGTGACCCCCAAGTTAGTCCTTTTCTCAATGGTTATCTGAAGCCTCAAAACCTATTTTAGGGTTGTTTTTCCTATATAAAATGATTGATATACAAAACAAGAATAACAATAGGTTTGAAAATCTGTAGCTTTGAAATAATGACAACAGCTAAACACTTTAGCTGGAACCTGATACAATATTTCTCTTGGTATACTATTACTATATATTGCACAGTATATATTATGTACAGCTGTGCGGAGTTGAACTGTAGGCCATCTAGTTACTTCATAATAAATAGCGACCTTTTCCTTGATTTGCTCTTTCAATGCAAACAGCCCAGAGAGAAATCTGCAGTTCTGCTGCATTTGTCAGTGTGCTTAAGTCTATGTACAGAACTCCAGCTGCTTGTGTCCATTCGCAGGGCTGATGGGATACCAGAGGATGTGCCGCAGATCAGCCTGTGGTGAGATCATTGTGAGGAGCCTCCAAAGTCTCAGCGATTTCACCCAACTTGTCTTGAAGCTCTGAGAAAGAGGGTCTTCTGAAAGCCTCTATCTGCATGAGAAACAACAACAGTCAATGGTAACACTTTACTTCCTTTTTCAAAGGGTTTGTTAGTTTTTAGGCATAACTGACAGAGGAAATGTGTGTCCATTTGATATACACGAAAGGTAACAAGGTCACTTACCAGACAGCAGCTGGCTGCCAACTCTAAAAGACGCTGAGGACACTCACTGACCATTTTCCCAAATGCTGAAACGTCCAGGCCGTAGTCCTGCAACACACACAATCATAAATGTGTAGGTAGACAGTAGGTTTTTTTGTTTTGTAAAAAACTGATACTGGATGTAATATTTTCTGGCATTTCCAAAGCGTCAATAATTCTATTTCTGATCACCTGTGTTCTTGGAAGGATTTCTGGGTCTGCTGGGATCCTAGCCAGAATTTCACACAAAACAATTCCAAAAGAGAACACATCCACCTAGCGTTAAATAAAGCAAAATCAGAAGGTGAGAACTAGAAAATGCTTTAGAACATCACGTACATAAGACCAACATTTCACATCTTGCTCTGGTATTTTTGAGCCATTACCTTGCGGTCGTAGGGCTCCCCACGCAGCATCTCAGGGGCCATCCAGAAAGCAGAGCCCACAAGTGAAAGCTTTCTGTCCTTTGCAGGAAGTTCAACCACCTCTCGAGCCAAACCAAAATCAGTAACCAGAGCTTCTCTGCCTCTCGCTGTCACCCTTATTAGACAATTCTTTTGGAGACACAAACACACAAAGATGTTTTGATGCAAAATGAGTATTTTTAGTCTCTTTGTACTATTACTAGTGGTTTATTCTCACTCTTGGGACTGTAAAATATAATGCAGTAAAATATAATAAAGTAAAAAAGTAATATTGTGAAATATTATTACAGCCATTTCTCCATTCTTCAGTGTCACATGATATTTCAGAAATCATTCCAATATGCTTATTTGAAGCTCAAAAATATTTCTAATTTATTAAAGTATTAATTTACTTAAAAAAAAAATCTAATTGATCTCAAAACTTTTAAACTGTACTGTATATACACTTCATTTTCGCTAATAAATAATTGCATGTTATGAATTAATAGTTCTTTCTTTTTAAATAATGTCATATAATTAATTAAAATATACCAGATACAGACATGCAAAAAAACACTATTTGTGCCTTGGGTTACAAAATTATTTTAAGTGAATGTGCTGTCCTTCTCTGCCACAAGGCTGCGCCAAAAACCAGCAGAAAGTTTCTAAAACTCATTATAATCTCCCACAAAAACTCTTACATAGCATTTCCGAAATCTGAACTTGTCTAGTACCAAATAACACCTTCATATGGCAGACATTATTATTACAGTTTCCAAATGAACACAAACCAAATTCAAAGTTTGAAGCTGTGCGGACTGACTTGTTTGTGGACTTTTTGTGTGAATGTAAACTGTGGAATTAATAAGCATCTAAATACAGATAAAGACAAATACAATACAAGCATAAATAAGATGCATGTTTGCAGTTTTGTGGTTTAGTATCTGTAGCATGTCTGTAATGTTCTTCGGAGATGATGTGCCTGGCGGCTGAAGCAGAACTCCCAGGCTCAAATGAAAGACGTTTCTCATCATCACCGTCTCTGTTTAATGAATTATTCAGCTGACCCTGTACCTCGCCAAAGGGTCTGGACCGCCTACAATTCCTCTCCTCCATCTCTATCACTCCAGGGGTACCAATATGCAATGTTATACCTCGCTTCCAGTTTGAATGTCTCTAGTGATGATGTGTCATGGCTAGAAACATTACCATGTAGTCTGAAAAAACTCAGTTTAAAGGAAAATGATTGAGGGTGTAATAAAAATGGCCTGTTATTTTAGAAGAAAGGCAAATGAGGAAACATTGAGGCTGACCAGAGCAGGGGGAATCCAGGTACAACCGAGACATTACATAAGACCAGTGGGACTCTTGGAGCAGAAAGTGCTGATGGATACAACAGTGAGTTCTGCATCTGGACTGAATTAGAAACCTCAGCTAAGCCTCCATCCCAAAAACTGACCTATGATTATAGGACTAAGAAAACTCCAAGCACAGCCCCGAGTCTAGAAGTCTCCAAATTTAGAACAGTAACTCATGCATATGCCAAGTGTTGCAACACCCTCTGGCTATGCAGCTAATGGGTGGGTTTGAAAGAAAAGCACTAAGGGTGTTTGATTCAACATAAAATCAACAACAACAACAAAAAACCATACACTTATAATAATTTAATTCTAGTAATTATATATAATAATTATAATAAGGAAATTGTAAAAAAAATAAAAATAATTAAGTGCTTGGATAAAAATACGATAATGGTATATGTTCATAATTTTGCACTTAGAAAAGTTAGAGCTGCTGTTGTCCAGGGTTATTATAGTTAAATAAAACTAAAATCTAATTAAAACCATAAACAACATTTTCATTACTTGAAATAAAAAGAGAGTTAAATTAAGTAAAATATGCATTTTTTTGCCAAAGCACCATTGTACTAAAATACTGAAATAAAAATTTACAAGAACACTAAAACTAAAATTAAAATGAAAACAAAAAAACAAAAATACAAAATTATTCAAAATATGAACAAAACTTATAATAGTATCTCAATGACACAAATAATACTGTTGTTGAAAAAAACTTTTTTTTTAATATATATGAATCATTTTTTTTTTCATATAAAACATTTTTAGACAGTTGATTTCATATAGATAAAAATACAATAAATGTTTTAATCGGACCATAGAAGATCATATTTAGATCTTGTAGTTCTGTGACATTTTATGCTATTCAGCATGTGAACCCTTTCACCCCCTCTTAATTAATGTTCCAAATGCAAGTACTTAAAAACACCAGTTTCAGGGAACCAGTCGGCCTTAAAGGGTTAGTTCACCCAAAAATGAAAATTAGCCCACAAATTACTCACCCTCAAGTCATCCTAGGTGTTTTTACCTCTTTTGGACTGATGCATGCAACACCCAATGAGTGGCATTAAACAGCTTGAAAGATCAAAGACCATTTTTAATATAACTCCGACTGGATTCGTCTGAAAGAAGAAAGTCATATACACCTAGGATGACTTGAGGGTGAGTAATTTGTGGGCTAATTTTCATTTTTGGGTGAACTAACCCTTTAATAGCTTCTATTTTCTGACACAACTTCCCATAGTCATACCAACTTCTGCCAACTTGCAGTGCAGTGGAAACCAATCGATGGTCCTACTAACCAAAGTGCTAGACGTCACGATTGTGTAAATTGTGTGGCTGGCATTTTTGTTTGCCCATTGTTCATATCTGAATGGCTGACAAATAACCAGTCGAGGCCTGGCTAAAAACGAAAGGGGGGGGTATGGGATCTGCGAGCCTATACACTGTTTGTGCATTTTGCATTTTCAAATGAGATGGGAAGGGTTAGGGAGAGTGTGTGTATGTGACAGAGAGAGAAAGACTGAGTGGGAGAGTTTATTACCATTACAATGGACTAGCCTTGTTGCCTCGCCCCTCACCCCAGGTTTGGTGAGCACTTGTGTGAATCCTGGCAACCAATGACACTCTCACGCAAACATCTATGGCTGTATTTCTCAGGGGAGAATTCCATGTAAAGACTAGACAGCCATTCTCTAATATCTGATGATTACTCAGAGGAACTGTATATAAACCATTTCACATTGCACTTCTCAAAGCATCACTCAGTTGGTCACTAAAGACGTGTGTTATTGAGAGTCCTGCTGTACCTTAGAGTTCAGATCTCTGTGGTAGATGTTCTTGTAGTGGAGGTAAATCATCCCTCTGGTGATGTCAGAGGCCAGCTCTACTTTCTCTCTCCAGCATAGAGGCACATCTTTCCTGGCCAACAGCTCCTCTAAACATCCTCCACTAACATACTGTACAGACAAACAGTCCGTAAGGGAATAAAACAAATATACACTTTCACTTTTATTGCTCTTGATATGTGCAGGGCTCAGCAATAAGGATCTCTCTGGGGCAAATATAATAACATAAAAAACACTTTACAATAAGGTCCCATTTGTTAACATTAGTAAATGCGTTCATGTATATTAAAGAATTTATGAATCTTTGTTAATGCTACTAAAAAAACTGCTCATTGTTTGTTCAAGTTAGTTCATAGTGTATTAACTAATGTTAACTACAACTTTTGATTTTGGCTAATATTAATAAATTCTGTAGAAGTATTATTTATTGTTAGTTAATGTTAACAAATTAAACCTTACTGTAAAATAAAATAAAAAATAATAATAATAATCCTGGTAAAGGCTCATAATTGTTCGCTCCTTGGCAGATGAAACACAGAGCTGTTGTTGGCAACATTTTTAAATGTATTACTAATTTCTGCTACTGATTTTAGGGAGTTGATTTCTTATATAATGTTGTATTATGTAACTAATATACATGAAAATACAGCATATGTTTCAATTTAATTTCATTGTGTACGTCTATATAAAATGTGCACATGTAATTATTTATTGGTAGTACATTTTTTATCTTTTGCTAAATATAAAATATATTTTCTGACACATATAAAACATTTTAAAAGAAAAGCAGAAAAATTCTTATTGTTGAGCCCATCAAGTGTACAGTTTCAAAGCATCACATCTATATGATATTTCAAAAATCTAACTGTACAATTGTACAGTCTAATGCATAAAATAAACTCAAACTGCGGAACAAACTTTTTAGTTTTGAGGCTGAGAAAACAGATCTCACCTCCAGAATTGGGTACAACTTGTCCTCTTTGACACAAATACCCAGATACCTGGAAAAAGAGATGTGGGAGGTTATGAGCCATTCCCTAAATCTGCCTCGTCAATAGGTTCAGCCTAAATAAAGTCCAAAGCCCCTGTCATTTGTCAAATGCCCAACAATTGAGCAGAAACTGAAAATTAGGTCAATTTGATTTTAAAACGATGTTCAGGTTTTCACTTGTTTTTAGTAATATATTAGAGAACCATGAATTAGTTAAGCAGTAAATGTAATATGTCAGTGTGTCATGGTGACCTCATGTGGTTTCGGTCACATTCAGCAGTTCTGTTCATGGGTTAACATGACTGTCATCTGTACTGAGGTGATGACAGCTGGCAGTAACTGGAAAGTTGTGATAAATTAACACTGCACAGGCAGTTTTGAATATGGCTTTGTCCTTCCGCAACGCACTGGAAAAAGCCATTCTGAGATTGCTAAGACAAACACGCGTCATAGTGCAAGATTAACAGCAGTTTAAGAGCGCTGTGCTGGACAGAGCTTAGTGTGACTTGTAACCTGTACAAACAGTCTTGTATGTATCTATCATGTACATCTCTACAGGGGTTTGGAAACACCTACTACTCATTCTTCATTATTACTGTATATTACTGTTTAACTGTTTTAGAATACTAGCAAGGGCAAAAACCTCTAAAATAACACAAAAGGAAATGACCAAAAAAACAATTAAAATTATCTTGTATTTTAGCTTCCTAAAAGAAGCCTCTATTTGTCTAGATTGCAGCACTGCACACTCTTCATGAGCTTCATGAGGTGCATCCTGGGATACATTTTAAACACCAGCAGACAATTCTGTGATCAAATTAATTAATTTGATCAAAACAAAACAAAAAACTCATTGCAAAACTTAAAGCAAAATGCCTCCGATTAAAAGGTTTTGAAGATAACATAGAATCAGTCTGGTGTGTCCAAACATTTGACTGGTGGTGTAACTACACAACATACTGTACATATAAACCTTCATGAGAATGGAAAGTGTAAATAATAGGCCTGAACATCTATTAGGCATTTAGATAATGGAGTTACATGAGAAACGTATTAAATAATAAACATATATGATGAATAAAAAATAAATAAGAGTTACAGTTTATGACGAGTTATTCATTAGCATTAATAAGTGGCTTACCTCACTATGTTGGGGTGTGAGAGTTTTTGCAGAAGGCTGATTTCTCGTACAATGCTGTCTTGATCAACATCATTCTTATAGATCTTTACTACCATCACCTTCCGTGTGGTATTGTGTATTACCTGAAAATAAATGAAATAAAATGAAAAACAGAATAGGGAATGAATCTTCAAGTGGTATTAAAACATTTGGTCATACTTTATTTTAAGGTCCAGTTCTCACTATTAACAAACCATTAACTATGACTTTTCCCTCAATAAACACCCAATTTGCTGCTGCTTATTAATAGTAAGTAAGGTAGCTGTTAAGTTAAGGTATTAGGTAGGATTAGGGATGTAGAATATTGTCATGTAGAATATGTGCTTTGTAAGTATTAAATAAACAGCCAATATGTGACCCTGGACCACAAAACCAGTCATAAGGGTCATTTTTTATCACTGAATAAATAAGCTTTCCATTGATGTATGGTTTGTTAGGATCGGACAATATTTGGCCGAGATACAACTATTTGAAAATCTGGAATCTGAGGGTGCAAAAAAATCAAAATATTGAGAAAATCGCCTTTAAAGTTGTCCAAATGAAGTTCTTAGCAATGCATATTACTAATCAAAAATTAAGTTTTTATATTTACAGTAGGAAATTTACAAAATATCTTCATGAAACATGATCTTTACTTAAAATATCCTAATGATTTTTGGCATAAAAGAAAAATCAATCATTTTGACCCATACAATGTATTTTTGGCTATTGCTACAAATATACCCCAGCGACTTAAGACTGGTTTTGTGGTCCAGGGTCACATATGTTAATAATAGGCATGCTAATAACCAACTAGTTAATAGTGAGAATTGGTCCTTATTCTAAAGTGGTGCCAAACATTCCTTTCTCTCTCTAAAGTACAATCACAGTGAAAAACACTTCCATGTTAATATACAGGAAGGGACAGAACTGCTGGGACGGTTGAGCGGTGCAATCATCGGTTATGTAATTTACACAGCAGGGACTCATCAGGAACCCATTAATGGCTATAGTGTACTCCAGCACGGGGGCCACCTCAAACTGGGCTTAGCTGTAAAATATGTCCTAATTAGTAGGACTACAATACTGCACTGTATGAGTGCCATTAAGATACACACACATACAACACACACTGAGAGACTTTCATTTACTTTCATTTTACACTGCTTTATTTGTTGTGGGAACATTTTTCAACAGCCAATGTGTTAAAGCACCAAGGAGACAAATCGGTCAAAAATTTCTTAGCACTTACTGTACATATATTATTTACTGCATATTTAGATATTATCACTTACAGATTCATGTCATCAGATTCAAGATATTTTAACTGTTACCTTGTAAACCTTTGAGAAGAAGCCACTGCCAATCAGCTCATGTGTGAAGTTCTCCCAGAATTCTAGCTTGCGGACGGCTGTGCGTAGCTTCTGCCAGCGGTCCACATGGCAGTATGTATCAGAAGACTCTCGATACAGCGTCGGGCTGGTGGGCTCAGACGAAACGTCCACCTCACACATCCTGGAGATCTCTGCTGAGAACCCACCACACAAACACAGTGTTGAGAAAAGCACCAAAGCTTTCCCGAGAAGTGTTTTCAAACAACTCCGAGGCAGAATGTGATGTTAAAAAGTTTTACAATTACAGAAAAACACTTTCATAATCTTTTAAATCAAAGAATTCTTTGTAAAAACCCTCAGAAATTATTTAGCCAGCACAAAGCTTTAAAAATTAGTAGCTGGTTTCTGATGGAAGCAGCGTTTAGAGATGAAAGTGAAGCTCGGGTTTGAAGCTCACAAGTACTCGATTAGGAAGGCTCTCGTCTGCACAGCAGGGTATAAAAGATGTCTTAAAATAGTCGTGGACAGCACGCAGAGGAGGACAGATTCAACTGTTCTTGATCGAAACACAAATGAGACATCAACAACTTACAAACAATTAAGACAAAGGTGAAGACTGCAGTTTACTGTTGGGTTTATTTAAACATAAAATTGCTTCTTTTTTTTTTAAATAAGCAGTGGTTTACTGAGCAAATAGCTCTTTTTTAAATAAATTAAATTATAATTAAAAATTAACTAGGGATAAAAATCTACCTCAGCTTATGCTCTAAACTATAGTGAGCCCCTTTACATTACTATAAGGTTACAATTAGGCCTGTCGCAATAATCAATATATCGACTTGTTGCGCAATATATGTACATGACCTCAATCATTTTTGGTGACGCAATATATCGCTCATTATATTTACTTTAAATATAATTAAATTGAATTAAATTTTTTTTTTTAAATATATAAAAATTAATGTCACCATGTTTTGTACATTCTACTTAAGTTGCGCCTGTGCCTTTTGCAGCTTCTCATACATAACGTGGTGTAGTCATGAGGTGCTAGTTCTAATTTAAAAAATGCTTCTACAAAAAAAGTTTCATCTGAAGATATGACCTTGTGCGTTTGTGCATATGGACATCGGACTGCTAAGTAGTGATTGTGTTTTTCAGCAATAGTGTGCACCCTTAATTTACAGAGAAAAGAAGGTCAGGGGAAAATCTGTAGATGGAAAAATCTCCAGACAAGTTCTTTGTGCATATTTCTTTTTTTCTACTTGTTACTTTGCACTTTTTGTTAGAAAATGTTTATTTACTATTTATTCAGGTTTTTTAAGGTACACGAGAGGAAATCAACCCTCAACTTTTACAGGAAGACTGATGCTTCAGCACGCAGAGCTAATAAGTAGAAGCTATGAATTACATTAAAACTCTGAAATACTACACATAGATTTTTTTTTAATAAAAAATTATAATTATTACTCTTATTTTTTAGCCTTGTTAATAAACTACAAAACCACAGCTTCAGGACTTGTATAAGCACAAATCTGAGAATTATTTTGATCTAGAATTATCTTTTTTATCATGATAATGCAGCAGGCAGCAACATGGAGTTCATTAGCATTATTTATTAGTCTAATGACTCTCCTCTGCAAGGGTCACAGATCTGCTCTTTGCATCACATAAACACTCCATAGTTGATGTGATTCACTGATTAACATCAGAACAGGAAGCATGTGGCATGTTTACAACCTTCAAAGGGCAGAAATGTGAAAAGCATGTCCAAATTTAGATATTAGTTTAAATTAGATTTTAGATTTGTGACTTATCCAGTGTTATTTTATTATTATTATTATTTCCCTTTAATTTCAGTTATTATATATACATTCTATTTAGCTTTCTTTTTATTTTGTTTTTAGTCATTTTTTCACAAAATTTCTAATTTTCATTTAAGTTTCATCTAATATTTATATATATATATTTTTTTTCAACTAACAATAACAACACTGACCTCATTTTTTATTTGAGGATAGAATATGTTGTAAAGGTCAGAACCCTTTGCGACCCTTTTGCTATATGGTTTCTTTTACAAACTGATAAGAGAAAAACATTTTTGTATATACTATAGGTGCATATCTACCAGAGCCCTATAATATTACATGTACAGTATGACTGTATGTCAGTATGACTGTACCATGCAGTAAACAATTGTGGAGGAATATAACAGCAGAAGCTATTCTTCTTAAGGAGACAGTAGCAAGAGAAGTGGCATGACAAAGTCCTGAACTTGCTCAAGTCCAGACCAGAACAGAGATGAGACAGTGATAAGAACGTGTGAGTAGATCACATGTTCAAGTCATGAAATTCACACTACTCGCACTATAATAAGCATGTACGCACAACATGCCATGCATTTGTTTTTTTGCATTCTTTTGTCCACATCATGACAAGTTCTCTCTCTCTCTCTCCACACACAGTTTCTCATGTGGCTGCTGGGATTGGTGTGAACTGCAGGGGCAGAAGCTCTAGTCTGTTCCAGACTGGTTCTGTTGGAGAAGAGAGAGCTTTGGCATCACTCTAGAGATCTCCCCCTCACATTCTCTCCCACTCTCTTTCTCTACACAAAACAACATTCAGCACAGTGGCATACCAAACATTAAAAATGTCAGAAGTCTTGCTGATGCCTTTCTCTTTTCCATCTCATCGTCTGTCTTTTCTTAGAGTTTTGGGAGCACTGGTTCCTGCACATCCAAACGCAGCATATGGAACTGATCAAACTCACATGCGTGCATGCACAAACTCAATTTTTTAAGCAATTTAGGTGTGATGGCTAGTTGTAATGAGTTTGTTAAGACCGGAGCCCACCTGTCTGGGAAAAATCGATCAAAGGAACAGCAGGAGAAATCTAGTTTCCTAACAATAACTCTGAATAAAGACTGCTTTGTCACAACGATGTGCTGCTTAATAGGCTGCAGTTGCAAACAGTGACAATATAACTGTGATCCAGCGAAATGTATTTTTGCTGAACTCATATGTCAGTGATATATCATGTCAAAGCTAAAGCATGGAAAGACTCAGCTTCTGTGCGAGTAAAAATAAACATGATGTGGGAAGAATAATTTTGCTTCTTTGCAAAACAGACACTAAAATATACTAAAACTAACTAACTAGATATCAGATATTCTGAATCCTGATAATTACATTAAGTATATTAACCAGCACTGAAATATTATATATACCCTTTTTTAAAAATTTGGAGCTGGCAAAAAATTTTTTTTAATCTTTTTTCAAATAAGTCTCTTATTCTCATTAAGCTTGCATTTTTTAATCAGAAACAGCAATATTTGGAAATATTATTACAATTTAACATAGCTGTTTTCTATTTGAATACATTTTAAAATGTAATTTATTCCTATGAAGAAAGCTATATTTTCAGCACCCATTACTTCCAGTGTTACATGATCCTTCAGAAATCATTCTCATATGCTGATCTGGTGCTCAAGAATCATTTCTTATTATTAAAGTTGAAAACAGTTTTGCTGATTAATGTTTTTGAGGAAGCCATTACACTTTCTTCAAGATTCTCCGATGAATAGAAAGTTCAAAAGAACAGCATTTAATGCACCCTTGCTGAACAAAACAAACAAACAAACAAAAAAAATTACTGATCCTAAACATTTGAATGACAATATATAATATATATGTAATTGCTGCTGTGGCATTTTAGAATCAACTAGTGCTGGGCGGTATACCGGTTCATACCGAATACCGGTGTTTATTTTTGTTATGATATGAATTTTAAAAAATACCGCAATACGTATGTATACGTATGTATGTCGCTTAAACAACGTTCGGAACGCGACACTGTTTGAAAGGGGTCCCTTTTCACTGTAATCAACCATCGCATATCCGGTTGTATGCAAGCACTGTTTTTATTTTATCAGAAGATATCAGTCACTGTCATGCATGCAACTGGACTCCAAGCACATCTCAAGGTTCGATCAACATAAACATCAGGCACTTCCTCAAATCATCTTATCTTCTAAGGTTTGCTTCTTTTTTAATCTACCCTCAACTTTGACTTATTACATTTTTGTGTTTCACAAGTCTGTGCTCAACATGCATCAACATATTTAGAAAGACAAACAAGACAGTATATGTGGAATGAAGAAGTACTTTTGAGGCTATTATTTTTAGAACTTCTCTAAGTCCTGTGCTGTTTTATATGAGAGAGACAGAACTGGGCAGTGTACCTTTGGAAGTAGATGGAGGAGGAAAACTGTTTTCCTGTCTCACACCAAAGGGCAGGGAGGATTTCAGATACGTCAACACAAGGGCACAGACTGAACGATACACACCCTCATGAGCAAAATATAGTGGACTAATATCCATCAAAAGCAAAGACAGCACAATACCAGAAACAATAATCATATTTTTAACTATGGACTCTATGGAAAAACACTGTATGGGACGGACTAAAAACTACTTCTATATTTTTATACATGGAAATACACAACAGCCTTGTCTGAGACAACATCAAAACACTGACTAATGAGACCCTGACCATGGCCACAAGATCAAGAGTGTTAGAGCAAATCTGAACATCTATTCTCCATGCTTCTCTTCATGGCATTCTCAATGTGAATCCACTAACTTATTCCCAGCCATACTGAGATGAGAAATGCCAAGTGCAGATTATAAAACCCCTCTAATGAGTTAGACATCTCAGTCAATTCATTAAGCATTCCATGCATTAAGCAGAGCAAATTAATGCACATGCAGTAGCATGTCTTTATGGAAAGCTAGCTGTTTCATGTAGTCACAAAAACATTGATTAAATCCTAAGCATTCTTACTTACTGCACTGGTTTAATAAACTATTCATGTGCATCTTGAGGTGGGTGGAGGGGCGGTCCGCCTGAGCACACAACACAGACAAGATGGGAAGAGCCTGTATGACAGAAGCTATGAGGAAAAAGGACACGCATAGAAGCAACCATGAACAGACACAAACACAGAACTGTAACACAAACACTTAAAAACAACACACTGAACCGACATGACATTTTATAAAATAACAAATTAAATTAAATTACATTGCACACTGAGAGAGAGAGAGAGAGAGAGCGGTCTGAAATAGTTTATATCTGTAGCACAGCATATTATCAGTCAAAATTGTAAATGAGAACATGAAAATGACATACGGATGAGTGGGTGGATGGATGGAGCGAGATGCTGTTAGTAAGCAGAAATGTTTTAAACATTACATTTGCACGTGTAGTTTACAATTACTTCAAACACACACAAAACTATTAGAAATTCATCAAGATGCATAACAACCTAGTAACCGATAAAAAAATATATATAATAATAATCGCTTACTCACAGCAGAAAGCACCCCGGCGTCTTCACCTCCGCTGCTACTGATTGATTGCTCAGCGATCAAATAAAATCGACTACAAACCCCCAAATAAGTTCTACTCGGAGACAAACCGGTGGCATCACTTGTACCGCGCTTCTTGGAAGGACTTCATTTACCGTCACTCACTCAAACTGACAATCCTCGCGCATAACGAAACCGCCCTCTTCAGGCCAGACTGACAGCTTCTCGGTAGGGGTTAAAGCAAGCGGTATAGCCTAGATGAGAAATACATGTTTAATGGGCTGTGTGTAGTGGGAGCCAGTTGCCATGACGTCATAATCGTTGAGTTCAGCCCCACCCACCTGTAGGTCTACGGTTGCAAGTGGCTGTGCTTCAAAAGCAGTGAGCTAACGTTAGCTGCTTACTCGGTCAGAACTAAGTGGTGGGGATTTCGATTCAGTGACTCGATTCTTTTGAATCTTTGACCAAATAGATTCATTTAATGGCCATTTGCCGTGTAAACAAATTTAATAGACTACAGAAAGTTTAAGCATCAAAAGCGATTCCCTTCAAATGCCAACTCTTAAGATAGACTCACCAGTCATTGTTTAGTGCCGCTCCGAGTCGTTTAGACACTGATTTGCTCAGAGATTCGTTCAAAGAAAGAGACCGGCGAATAATACAAATATGAATACGCTGAATTCGTTCACTCAAAAGATTCGTTCAAAACGAACGAGACACATCTACGGCTCAGGAAAACGCCTATGATGCTTAATCACGCTGTGTGGCTAGGAAGCTCACTGCAACTTTGTAAGTTAACTCTGCCAATCTGCTGTTACACAATATTATGATATTGTGCAACAAACATAACCCAGCGCTTAATTATCATCCAATATAATTAAACAACCTGAATTTACTTTTCCATGGTGTTAAATGCTTTGTTTATTATGTTTGAGCAGCCGATTTCCAGGCACAAACTGCACCACAGGCTGCAAATGCAAAAGTGATGAATCAGAATGAGCTTTATTGCCAGGTATGTTTACACATACGAGGAATTTGTTTTCGCGACAGGAGCTTCCACAGTGCGACAGAATGACAGTTACAGAACAAAAAAATCACAGATAAAAAAAAAATAGAACAATAAGGAATAAAAATATACAAATCGACAGTTGTATGTACAGGTATATAACAATAGACAGTTGCATGTACAGGTATATTGTGTGCAAATTGAAATGTAGACTGAGTATGTGTGTTAGATAAGTGTATAAATATTTCTGCTTCATTATACAAACAAACGCACAAATAGTTATGTGCTCTGAGCAGTAAATTGAATGTACATGACCATATAGAAAGTAGTTGGATTGTAAATAGATAAATATTAACCACTTCATCTTTAAATAAATATTTTCTTACCAGAACACAAGTGTGTACGTAGAGTGCTACGTTTCCTCCACTCGCTATTTTTAGTGAAACTGCGCCCCCTTCTGTTTAAATCACGCACCAGCATCTCAAAATGTAATACACAGAAGAAACAAGTATTTTTCTCCCATCAAAAATAAATATTTTTATTGTTTAAAGTTCATACGTGGATGGTAAATAGCTCTTTTAAAATTATATGTGCAACTTCAGTACAGAAAGAAAAGAGCTCTCTATCATGCTTTGTTCAAATAGTGCAATCCGCTTAATAAAAGAAATTGCTGATATATCTGTAAGGGCAGCTACTGTATGGTTTCTAAATTGAAAGTAATTACAAAAGGACAAATAAAAGAGCCAGTAAGCCGCCTTTTAATCATTGAAAACAGATTAAAGAGATTGCTATTTATACGGACTCACACTATACAGAAAAATCCTGAACATATCACAGCAGTATCTCCTCTTCTTAAGGACTCCAATCCTCCCTCCTCAGGTAATATGTGACCCCTCTCACCCAATTCAAAGTGTTTTTATTTTTCTGCCATCCTCCAGAAGGCAGAAGAATAAAAACACTATGAAATAGGTGATGGATCACTTATAATACCTGAGGTCTGTGGCCCACGGCCGGCATTAAAAATAGTCTTTAAAATAGTTTATCTAAGAAAGTGTTTTACATAACCTCTTCCACTTCCACATGCCCTTCTTCCCCCTCTATATTGTTTTTTTCTCTTAAATTTAATTATTTTCTACATACCACACCTCAACAGCTGTCTACTTCCCTTGTAAGTGTTCTTGGCCCTTTCAGTAAAACAATATTTTGTTCTCCCTCGCATATGTTACAGTGCTGGATCTCACTACTGATGTGAACTTTGTTAAAGGAATGGTACTAGCAAATACTACACATAAGTTTAACAATTTTAGTTCTTTCAGTTGTATCAACATGTAAAATAAGACTTCTGAAAGTCATGCCAAATGCGGAGAAGATTCTGTGGGTTAAAGCCATTCACTATAATGCGCTTGGCAAAAGTGCACCTTTCATACTTAAGTCTGCGCACCTCAAAAAGATTCCTAAATCCCAGAAATTTTGTTGCATAAACTGGTTTTACACCCAGGACGTGTAGGCACAGCCCCACATAGACATCTTCGAGTGGAATCGGTCGCACAAATCTAGAGGCCCAGGATATTTTTCTGGCCAGGTCAGTAGAAAAGACATATGCAGCTCCAGACACGTATGGAGGATACCAGGAGTCTGGGTAAAGACCCTCTGAGATGTACCATTTGTTGAAGCTGTCCCTGTGAGGAACAGCATCTGAGATGACTGATCCCGTGATGTAGTCTTTCCTTGAGGACTTGCTCTGGTCATGCAAGTAGTCCACCAGGTAACGTACATTGAGAAAGATATCTGCATCTATCTTCATGGCATACCAGGCCCCCTGGCAGTAAGTGGCTATCCAGTTCATAATCATCATCGTCTTGATTGTGAGATTATGGTAGCTGTCCACAAAGTCCATTTGAATGATGTCACCATATTCCTTGCTCTCCTTCTCAAGGTGCTCCTGCAGTACTGGGTCTCTTTGTGCTGGCTGACCAATGACAAACAAATGCAAAATGGTCACACGAGGAATCAAGCCATCTTGACCCCATGTCCTTCTAATAGCAGTCCTCGCCTCTGTGTCTTTGAGAGTCACTGGGATCACAAGTACCAGGAAAGGACTTATGTTCTCACACAGTTCTGGCTGGTTCAGAATGAATTTGTATGTTGATGGTGAGATCACGTTATAGAGCTCTTTAGGTGCTGGAGTCTTCTTCGGTAGAGACGGCCGTATTGTGCTGTTAAAAACGAGGATAACTACAAATGTTATTAATCCAGCTATAGCAAAGTATTCCAAAAGTTTATATCGCGATCGTTTTCGCATATTTAAACAAAATAAAACTGTATCACAAACGCAGGTAGCCTAAAGTTACGAAACTTGAATGTCAGGTTCGCCCATATTGCCTAAGACGCACGCGTTTGTTTAGCAAAATTGCCCAACCCTTCTTGAGAGGGCTTGAATCGCTCTCATGAGGTATTTTAAACTTCAACCATTTTTAAAGCAAGTTACTATCATTTTCTATCGGATAGAAGTGGACTTTACGCTTAGCATAATCCAGCTAAGCTATAAAGGTTATTCATAATATTTACAATGTACAGTATCACGGGGGAGTGTTTTATTCAGAGTTGCCAGATGACTCTGGAATATTCAAAAGCGAATGAGTGATTTAATGATTGAGTGAGGAGGAATATTAGCTTGATTTGAGTTTCACGATTAAATAATTGAATTTGTTCATTTAAAATGGTAAAGAAACCCACACGAATCAATACAAATGTCCAATTCTTCACCACGCATTTATGCGCATTTTCATCGCGCAATCTGGCAACACATGATGTTACTAGGAAAACATCTCTGTTGCGTTTTGGTTGTAAACCCTCACAGCTGTTTTTTGCAATTTTGCGAAACAAAAAAAACCAAGATAGATTGACAAGCTAGGACATTCCGGTTTTGAATAACGTGAAAGTTTTGTTACATTAGGCTCGTTTTGAGTGTCCAAATAATAAGCGCACAATGCAAACGTGATTTATTAAACAAAATCCGTTTTATTGTAAGAAGGTTTACAAAGAAACACCTGTTGTACACCCATTTAATAAACAAACAAACAAACAAAAATATTCAAATACCAAATCGAGACATAATTTACACAGGTATTGTATAGGGTCAGTGGTTAAGTCGAAAGCAGGGTAGGGGCAAACACAAAGACTTATTTCTGTATATTAATTCTTAATTCTTTTTTGCAAACAGAACTTTCATATGAGGCTATGTTTACAATAATTCCAATCACCTGGGCATTACTTTTCCTTTTCCTGAATCTTGAACATTACACAGTATCACTTAAACAAAAGACTGAACATAGGTCCTGCCTTAACTTTTGTTTCATTTAAAACTTTTTTTTTTATTGGATAACAATCAACAAATCAAGATTCTTATGCTCTGTGACTGAATGCCCATATAGTTATAGGGTACAGGAAACACGATGAAAGGTGCACATAAACACTTAGCAGTACTGTGTATGTACTGGTTGCAGAAATGCGCCACTTCAGAACCGATGAATGCATGAGTTGTGGGAGAGAGAAAACAGAGCATGGGTACTTAGATTCGTCACAGACAGACAAAAGAGATGAAAAAAAAAAAATCTCTGAGCCTCCCCACTAGATATTTTTATGCAGTCCTGCATATTAAATGCTGAGTTTTTACCGTGTGCCATTAAACATCTCGCCCTAATTGAGAAGTTAAAGGATAAATAATTGTTGAGGCTAATTCACAGCCTAGCTAGGGAAGAGGCTCTGAAGCAAAAATACCACACACAAACATTCAACTCTTCCCACTGTAACTGTATGGGATATACAGAAAGAATAATATCAGTATTTTTTAAACTGGAAAGCACCAAGCCAAACTCAAAATCTCCTCTCCGTAGGCATTGTATCATATAGATGTTACTGGAGTGTCTGTCTTTGGTGTGCTTAAGATGTACAGGCACAGTGTGTAATGTTAAACACTTCACTATGAGTCTATTGGTTTACTGTCAGATTGACATGCACAGAAGTGGTACACACACAACTGTGTATGGACTGTAGCTTTGAATGGGGGGTGAAAACTTTTTTGTACTTGTTCTCCATGAATAGGAGAGTGTGAAGAGCAGGCTGGGCTCCTGGCAGTGACTTTGGTAGATGAAGGGGATGAGATGATGCAGGAGAAACAAGGGGCAAATGGTCAGCAGTGGAGGGTTGCTTGGTTCGAGTTGGAGCGCACAGGTTTACGATCGCTTTCTCCTTCCCTCAAAATTCCTGAAGTTAGTGGGCCTGATCTTCATCTCTGCGAACCCGATGGAGTGCTCATGACCCTTCCAGTGGAACCAGTTTACACCCTGGAGATAAAACAGTTTAAAACAATCTAAATCTGTCTCTACTGTGTATTATTAGAAAGCACATATGAAATGTGTACCTTGCTATGACTGTTGTCTCCGTATCGTCCCATTATATTCACTCGATGACAGTT